TGAGCTACAGTGTGTGTGATCTAAACTAGAGTCCACACTGAATCCTACCTCAGAATGACACATAACCGGGTATGAAACAATCAACTAATTTCGGTCAGCCTAGAGAGAAGTAGTCAAGTGGTAACCTGCAATCAATGTCGGGTTCTACAGGTAAGTTTAATTTTATTTTTAGATTACTCTAACACATAATGCATTGCAGCAAGGAAGCAACTACCCTAGCTGCACCTGTCTGTCAGTTGTTAACAAGTCTGTACAACTAAGTAATCAAAATAAAAATAACTACCTGTGGAGATGCATGCTGGATGGCAGTTCATCTAATTAGTGCCACATCAAATCATTACCGGAATCTCCCCTCTCCCTGTATTCTTCTTGAGTAGTCACTTTGTGTCAACGCCTTGAGCATGTGGTTGAGCAGCGTGTCTGAAGGTGTGCAATCCGGCCCACCCCTGTGCCCCAAGTCTAAGCCGAACCTGCCAGCCCCTGCACTTTATTTATCCTCGCATGCAACGAGCCTTACATCCGGTTTGATCTGGCTGATCAAGAGGCGGTTTAAGGACAGCCCCCAAGGTCCTCAGGAATTATTTAACGTCGCAGACAGGACGACGATCACAGCCAGGGTTCAACACCGAATCCCGCCATAAATATTTATAGACGGTCTGGTGAGCGTCTGTTCAAAGGGCTGGCATGCCCTGGATGACCTCTATTGCGCAGCAGCAGAACCAAGGACATGCGGCAAAGCATGCGTGTACTAGTCCCAGCGGGTTGGCATGGTGACCGTGACCGGAGTGCTTCGTCCAGGGCCCTTCAGAGGCTTCGCCCGTCCCCCACCAGCTTGCTGCCCAGGAAGAATGTCGACTCTCAAGGTTGAGCGCTCGCGACACCTCACATTGAGAGGACTCTCAAGACAGAACTCACTTCCTCACAGTAAGAAGTAATGGAGAGGGTAGATAAGGAAGAGAGCAACGTACCTCATAATGCTGCCCCCAACCACAGATTTCTCACCGGCAACCTGATGTGCATTTATGATGACCGGTCTTTGCCTCGGCACAACCAACAGCAAAATGCAGTTCCACCTCGGCTTAAATGCCACATCAGCGAGCTCTCATCATCCAGCGTACACCCCTAATGTCACCACATAGCTTCCTCGCACGCCCACACGACCCTGGGCCCCTATCATTCAACGCCCAAGCCTTATCACTGCCCACACCTCATGCGAAGCACCAAACAGCTATTGCGAAGAATCAATGAAGGTTCGAACCAGCTCCGATACCAAATTGCAAGGAAAATGAGCAATAGCGAGATGACAATATCCAGAATGCACAATCACATTAAAGGCCAGATTGTATCACAGTGTCCGGAAAGCAGAAATGCACCAATATAACACCCATGAAGAATCGTAACACTGAAAACCAATGTCAATGAGAGCTTACTCTCGCCACCACCAACATGAGTGTCCAGGCCCTATCTCCCTACTTGGCGCTCGGCGCCCAGCCTACTTCCTACACAGCTACAGTCTGCCTACTAATTGACAATGCAACTGTTGACGCCAGCAGCCCACGAAGTACTTGAAGATGCCGCCCAATGCAGACCATCGCCAATACCAGGTATGTGCCCTCACATCATCATCATCATCATCCTTCTCCCTCTCCCCCGACTTACTCCCACGTCTTCCCTCTGTACACCCGAAGACCACCCCTGCGCCTCACTGTAGTCCAAGCCCATCCAGCTATGGAGGCTGGGCTATGGCGCTGCCCTCAGCAGCGCCCTACTTCCTGCACGACCGCATGCGCTAGCACCTTGCCTCCCATCGCCAGCAGCAGCCCACGAGCGTCCGCTCCAGCAGCGCTGCCGCCAGCATGGAAGTGCTGAATGCCTGGCCAGGCAGCGAGCTCTTTCCTATATGGAAAGAGCCTGCCGCTCTTGGCAGCCTGGCTGGCCTGGGCCTCTGCCCAGAAGCTTCTGGTAGGCCCCAGGAGGCTGTGCCTCCGCTGCTGCTGCTGGGCCTCCATTCAGTTGGGCCTCCCAACTGCCTGTGTATAAGGCTGCGATTCTCGCCCAGGGCCTGCATTTTTGGAAAGGCCTGGAAGGCCATGGAATGTCTTGCTTCTCGGCCTGTGTCCTTCAACCAACTGGCGCGTCGAAACTGCCTGGACCCCAAATACGAAATTGACAACTGAGGGCCTCTCGTGGTTTGTTAGGCCCACCTTCACTTAGGGCGGGCACATCTGTAGCAGGGGCCCCTTAGGCCTGCCGAGGACCCAGATCCTTGCAGATGTGCCAAAGGATGTCACAATAGACTCGTGTGGCTGCGGTTTGGCTTAATCCTGAAAGGCACCCCACGTTCGTCAGCAGATAAATAAGCACACCTTCTATAGTATAGTCTATGGCATTGATGAGATGGATAGTGCGGAATTTGTGCCTGAATATAAATAGTAAATAATAAATAGTAAATAGTAGTCTTATGATGTTATGCCACAATACTGCGCAATACTATAGGGTTTCCTTCGAGCTCCCCAAAAAAATAAAAATAAAAATAAAAAATAAAAAAATTCTGGGATAGAGTCATCCCAACCCGCTCTCATTACCTAAGTTCTAAACACGCCGGCCACCCTTTATGGAGTCTCTGGATTCGATCAGTTGACTTGGCAATTGATTGATGATGGATATGGTGTGAACAAGGGAGTGCAGTGCTGTACTTCTTTTTTTTTTTTTTTTTTTTTTTTTTCATTCCAACATGGTACATTTGACTTTACTTATGGTAAGGAGAAGGGGAAAAAAAAAAAGAGAAAAAAACAGATTGCAAGGTCAGCTGCCAGTTATGTTCTTAAGTAGTCACTGGTTGAGTTGGGTGAGCAAGAGGGGGTGGAGGGGGGGGGGCGAGCCCGGCGGCGGAGGGGGAATAAGGAGGAGCAAACAAACCACCAGACCAACTGCCCGTGCAATGTGCAGTTTATTCGGGTGCGTTGTGCGAGTACCGGGGCCAAAATCTAGAGTGCGCCGAGGCCAGGTAGGGGTTTGGTGGGAAAGGGCTACCGCAGTACCACTTCAATTTTTTCCGAAGGCCTGCCCTGTATAGATTATAGGCTCAACAAAATGCATTTTTTCAAATCTTTTGGTTTGTCAATTTAGCTTCGGATGGACTGGCGGTTGAAGAAAAAAAAAAATCCAGGTTTGCGCGGAATGGGGCTGTTTCGGGAGGTGTGAATTGTGGGCGGCTATGGTGGGCAGGTATCATCATCGGTGCCTCTTCCTCTTGTTTCGTTCTTGTTGTTTGTTTGGAAATGCTTGTTTGTTTGTTTGTTTGTTTGTTTGTGTAAATGACGCCCCCCTTTAGCGACCTACGTATTGACTCTCTTCTTCTTCTTCTTCTTCTTCTTCTTCTTCTTCTTCTTTCCGTCGTCTGATTTATGATGATGTCATTAACTCAGATGAAGGATTTTCAGCCTGCACTAAGCCGTGAATTTGAACCGTATAAACCGGACCCAGGGCCACTCATTCATATCTGCAGAGTTTGGGGAGTCCATCCAGGCGATGTCTTGATGGTCGGAGATAGCCCAAAGGATGATGTAAGTTTTTTTTTTTTTTTTTTTTTTTTAATCTTTTGATTCTCTAGGACAATGAAGGAAAGTTGAATGTGTGTCATCAACCTGCTTTGTCAAGAAATGATTCCCCCATACAATAAGAGTAGCAAGAGGATGAGTGAGATAGATAAGGAAAAATATAGAGAGAGTACATTGAGAGAAGAATATAGATGAGTTTTTCAACTTTTTCTTCTTTGTTTAAAAAAAAAAAAAGAAATGATGTTTCAAATTTCAATACTTGTTAACTTTGTCTGTTATTTCTTTAAATGTGAGACCGTTGTTGCCGTTCTATTTGCTAGTTTTTAAATTAAAAGGGCCTTTACCCGAAATAGGCCTCAGGCCTTGTAAAAGTAAAACAGCACAGACCTTGTAAAAGTAAAGCATTATGAAAAGGTATCTTGCCAGGGCTCAGAAACGTGAAAGCAGGTCAAAGGTCAAGTTCTCTATCAACAGGCACCTTTAAATCTAAGGCAAAGGGCATTGTCAAAAGACTTACCTGTTCACCAGGAGATGCGTATGACATGTCTGTTCGGGTAAGAGTGTGTCTGTACGTGCAGGCAGTGTACCTGTTCGTGCAAAGGAAAGTGTCTGTTCAAGCAGTAAATGTGTCTGTTCGTTTAGAGTTGTGCCTGTCCGAAAGTAAAGTCAATAGGCACAGTCCCAGTTCTGGTCTAAGTCAAGGGGCCAGTCCGGATCCAGACTTTCAAGTCCAAATACAGGCCGAGAGGCCTCAGCAGCAGTTGAACTTCATTGGGGCTCTACTGGGACACATGCAATGCAGGGTCTGGGACAAAGGAAAGGCCGAATTGAGCCAATGCAGACCCAGCGAGGAGTGGTCAACACTATAAAGGGAGCTGCCTGCCTCATTCCTCGCCAGATCTCCACTGGCTGTTTCTGCGTGGAAGTGCTGGAGCACTTGTGCGCTAAGTCAGTAGGAGCAGCGCTGGAAGAAGCAGATGCGCTGAATGGAGGAAGAAGCCTGTACGCTGGAAGTGATGCAGCCATAGCTGCCCAGCGAGTTAGCATTAGTAGTAGAGGGTTAGTATGTAGCTATGAGTAGTATCCAGAGTAGATCCTCATGAGTGAAGAGTGTGTATGCATCGAAGAAGGAAGGGATCGAGGCTGAGAGTGTTCATTCAAGGTTTGGCTATGGAAGATGCTTACCTGAGTTGTATGTGACCTGCAGGAGGTGGCGCTGATGAGGAGTGACCACATTGATGACTTGGAGACTATCTGCAGGAGTAGCGCTGATTCACTGGAAGTCATATTGATGAGTTGGCAAGATATTGGTGTTGCGCTGATGAGCGCTGGACTCAGGGGAACTTTGAAACACTTTGTATTCATATTTCTGATAATATAAGCTGTGAAACTCGGTCCTCTTCTCATCTACCTTTGTCTATGACTTGAGCCTGTTTATCATGGTGTGTGAGGAAGATGCATGACATGTACACACTTGCGTGAAAGGGTCCCCAGGACCCATGCAAAATTTAATATTTAATATTTATCAAGTCTACCAGCCGGGGCCGTCCGGGTCACCTTGTTTTCTTGGGGGGGCTGGTTGTGCAAGGACCAGGGAAGGTGCCAAGAAAAAACTATGTTATGCAGAAAACTAAACTGTTGTTGCCTCAGGGTCACATCAAAATTCTTTACCAAATTTAAAATAAAAAATAAAATTATTATTATTATTGAGAGGACTGAGCCCCGCGAAGGCCCTTCATGGGCATGAAAACGTTCTGGGCTTAGGCCTCCAGCAAGCCTCATGCCCGCCCTAAGTGAAGGCGGGCCGGCATATCCACGTGACGCCTATTTTTGACATTTCCGTATGTGGGGCATCAGACAATTGCACACGCCAGTTGGTTACAGAGCAACTTTTTTTTTTTTTTTTTTTTTTTTCTGAGAAACGGGGCCCAGTGCCCAAGGCTGATGTTTCAAATGATAAAAACGAGGCCGGGGTCCTCACAATCTACCGAGCAACGTGATCCTTCTGTGGCTCCTTCCAGAAGCAACAGCTGCGCTGAACAGTTGAGCCCAGGGCTTAGGTGGGTTGCGCCCTCTGGGCACAAGCAGTGGGAGGCCGACACATCACGCAGTGGCCGCCGCCGCCCTATGAGAAGGCAGCATTGTCGTCACACATCTACCACGAGCCGACGAGAATGCGGCAAACACTTGGAGCCTGGAGGGCCACCTGGACGTGCCTGACTGCACGAGGCCCAGGCCAGTATCTGAAACCAGGCCTGGGTGCAGACACTTGGGGCCAACCTGAAGCTATTGGGCCCCTACACGCCAGGCCCAGAACAGCTCAGCGGCGGTGCACACTTTCCGTACAGGAAAGTGAGAGCCCAGGGGCAGGGCTTTCTGGCCTGACTGGGCAATGCGGCCACGCTGCTGCATTAACGCATGAGCAGCTGCGGTAGGCTGCGGGCCAGACGCGCGCAAGGGCACTGAGATGAGGCGCATGCAGAGGGGGGACGGGGTGATGAGGGGAGGAGAGAGAAACATACCTGGTGTATGCTGGCGGTCTGCATTGGTGATGACGTCACGTAAATTGGTCCTCAACTTCGATGTGATCCTGTTGCAAGAACGTAGATAGGCTAGATAGGCTGAGTATTGTAGGCTGGGCGCTGGGCGCCAATCAGTAAGAGCGATTGGTGTGGCCAGAGAGCATCAGCATTGACGTTCGAGTTCATTGTACTGCTCGTATTTGGATGGTATCTTGGTGCATTGTGGATTTCTGTCTATCATGGCTATCTGGACTACCTTGTGATTGTGCAATTTGGATTCCAGCACGCCATGAACCGGGTCTTCCATGACTACTCGAATAAGTTTATTGTCGTGTACCTCGACAATATTCTTATCTTCAGTAAGACTGTCGAGGAGCATGTCCAACACTATAGATCTTGTGCTAGGCCTCCTTAGACAGAACAAGTATAAGATCAACCAGGAGAAATGCGAGTTCGGTCGCGCTAAAATCTTGTACTTGGGTCATGAAGTATCCGCGGATGGGGTTAGGCCCGAAGATGCGAAGGCGGCGAGCATTCGTGACTGGCCACGACCTCGGTCTCTGACCGAGGTGAGATCTTTCTTAGGGATGGCCAGCGACTACCGCAACTTCGTTAATAACTATAGCACGGTGGCCGCCCCTTTGACAGATTTAACACGTCTTGACACACCATGGGAATGGATTGACGAATACGAGGGAGCTTTCAAGCGATTGAGGCATGCTCTCACACATCATGAGGTTCTCATGCTTCCCGACCCTGAGAAACCATTCACCGCGACCACTGACGCAAGCCAATATAGCATTGGCGCAGTGCTGGCTCAACAGGAAAGGAAGAAGTTAAGGCCATTCGAGTACATGAGCAAGAAGATGTCATAAAAAAAGTTGGCGAAATCCACCTAAAAAAGGGAGCTCTATGCCCTTTACAAGGCGGCTCTTGTCCACTGGAGGCACTATCTGTTGGGAAGGGTCTTCAATTTGAGAACTGACCATCAGACACTTAAGTGGATCAAGACGCAGCCTGTTCTCTCTGACGCGCTTAAACACTGGATGGAGGTCATAGATCAGTATGACTTCAAGCTAGACTATGTGAAGGGAGAATACAACAGGATAGCTGATGCGCTGTTGCGTAGGGCAGACTACCTAGGTGCGCTAATCACTGAGTTTGGCTTATTTGAAGATGTAACTCGATCTTTGGTGGATGCCTTCAAGGAAGATCCTGTCATGATGGACACCATACGCAGACTAGAGGCCCAAGACAAGGCCGCATCTGACAAGTTTGTGATGGTGGATGGGTTACTCTTTCTTGAAAAGGCAGGCTTTAAAAGACTGTGTGTGCCGTCTAGTGAGATTTTACGTAGTTTATTTTTAGGTGAGTGTCATGATGCGACATGACATTTCAGGCTAATTTTCAGCTATAAAAAGACCAGTGCTAACTTAGTTCAGCATTTCTGGTGGCCTAGTATGCGTGACGATGCGAAGTAGTATGTCCAGACTTGTCAAGTCTGTCAGCGAGATAAGCCGTGAACTCAAGCACCGCTTGGGTTACTCAAGTCCTTGCCTATTCCTGCAGGTCCGGGACAGAGTGTCTCCATGGACTTGATGGACACCCTCGTGATCAGCAAGAGTGGCAAGAGGCACATCCTCGTCATTGCAGATAGGTTTACTAAGTACGCTAGACTGATCCCCATGCCAGAGACAGCCAAGACAGAGCACGTCATCAAGTTATTCATGGATAACTGGGTACGTGACATTGGACTGCCCAAGACGAGTGAAATGTGGAAGAAGGCTGCTGAACAGATGGGCAGCCAACTCTAAATGACATCGGGGAATCATCCGGAAGCCAATGGCCAAGCGGAACAGATGAACCGTGTGGTGCAACATTTGCTGAGGCATTACATCAAGCCCAGCCAGGATGATTGGGATGAGAAGTCGCCTCTCATCACCAGCCTCTACAACAACGCTGTACACAACACCACCGGTGTCAGTCCAAATGAGCTGCATTTGGGGTGGAAACCTAGATCTGCACTAGACTTTCTTCTTCCTGAAAAACCGACCAGCTGCAACGCCTGGAACCATAGAGTTTGGTGTCCAGTATGAGAAGCTGTTGCAGCAGGCTGTCGAGCACATTAGAAAATCTCAGGAGGCAATGATCGCCTCCGAGAACAAACACAGACAACAGTCCACATTTCAGGTAGGGGAACGTGTCTGGGTAAAGGGTAGTGAACTGGGTCAAGGATTCAGTATCTCTAGGAAGCTAATGCCACAGTACATCGGTCCTTGAGAAGTTCAAGATATTGTCAGTAGTGATTTGTATGGTCTCTCGTATCTGATAAGAATCCCTGGTCATCTGCGTGTAGTTCATGCTTCCAAACTTGCACCTTTCGCTGAAACTTATCAGTTCCCATCAAGGAGATAAATGCTGGCCCCAACCGTGGATGGCCATGTGGACGTCGACGACATCTTGCAACATACAGACTTGCCTGTTCCCGAGCCTGTGGGCAGGGGAAAACTGCCAGAACCTATGAGGGATCAGATTCATGCATCATACGGATCCGAAAGAAGATCGTTGGTTCACAAAAGAGGAGGTCGTCAGAACAGCACCTCAGATCGTGGAAGAGTATGAACGAAAGTTGAAGGGGAGACATCTCAGCGGACTCTCAAAGCTAAGAGGGGTGTAATGTGAGGACTGAACCCTGCAAAGGCCCTTCACGGGCATGCAAACGTTCTGGGCTTAGGCCTCCAGCAAGCCTCATGTCCGCTCTAAGTGAAGGTGGGCCGGCATATCCACGTGAGGCCTATTTTCGACATTCCCGTATGTGGGGTATCCGACAGTTGCAGCACGACAGTTGGTTACAGAGCAATGTGATCCGTCTGTGGCTCCTTCCAGAAGCAACAGCTGCGCTGAACAGTTGATCCCAGGGCTTAGGTGGGTGCGCCCTGGGCACACGCAGTGGGAGGCCGACACCACGCAGTGGCCGCCGCCGCCCAATGAGAAGGCGGCATTGTCATCACACATCTACCACGAGCCAATGAGAATGCAGCAAACACTCGGAGCCTGGTGGGCTAACTGCACGGGGCCCAGGCCAGCATCTGAAACGGGGCCTGGGCGCAGACACCACGGGCCAATCTGAAGCTGCTGGGCCCCTACACGCCAGGCCCAGAACAGCCAGCGGCAGTGCACACTTTCCATATAGGAAAGTGAGAGCCCAAGGGCAGGGAATTCTGGCCTCACTGGGCAATGCGGCCACTCTGCTGCATTAGCACATGAGCAGCTGCGCTAAGCTGCGGGCCAGATGCACGCACGGGCACTGAGGTGAGAGGGGCGCTGCTGAGGCGGCGGGCGCATGTCAAATAATGAAAGAAAGAGGAGCTTGAAGCGCATTGCTGAAGGGCTGTTAAAGGGGGACGCTTAAACGTTGGTCCAGGGAGATTTAAGTGCAGGCAGGCTTGGGTGTTGTGTCAGGTCTCATACCAATTGGGCCACTTATGACGGGTGGCTAAGACATCCACAAGGTGCACCTCGTTGTACTTCTGATTCCCCCTCCTTGAACCGCCTTCTTCTTCTTGTTTGTGCGATTTGCGTTGCTGTTTCCCGTATTAATTTTTCTTCCTGTCTCCTGATTCATGGTTCTGTGTGTGTGTGTCTGGTTGTGTCTGTTCATGTGTGTGTGTGTGTGTGTGTGTGTGTGTGTGTGTGTGTGTGTGTGTGTGTGTGTGTGTGTGTGTGTGTGTGTGTGTGTGTGTG